CCATTCTCTTCAAGACACCATGGGGAACAAAGAAGCAAAAATACAGACACAAAATATAAAATCCAAGACTACAGGAGTCATTCTGAATAGCAGGAGGGATTCTGAACAGCCATTATACATTTGGGGGGACGACTAAAGCTGCTGTGGTATAAGTACAGTTGGTACACAGAACCCACAGATAAGAGATGCTTTCAGACACTCCTGCAAAGCTGCTTTCGCAATGTCTGGCAGCCAGCATTAAACACAGGATGACCTGGGGCATACACATCTAAAGTTAACAAACAAGGAACCAAAGCAGCTGTCAGAGGATGCTTTTATGTACTAGGGAGCCTCCAACACTGTTCAGATAAATTAAAGATTACATAATAGTGCCTGGGATGTTTATATAGAAAATAGTTGCATACTCCTGATCCGATTATTCTATATTTCCTTCCAACCCATGCATAGGAAAATCAGTAAACCTCAATGCAATTTAATTTCAGTTATTGAATTTCCTTTCTTCAGGTGAGGGAGGAAGAAAAAGAGAATTCAAAATCCACTGACCTTCCCATTTGTTCTTCCTGTTTATAACAAGCTTATTCAATAGGCTCTTACTGGAAACAAGCTGAATTCCCTACTACAAGTTTTTTAGGATAACACTAAACATGACATGGGAATACAAATTCATAAGTAACCAGTATCTTGCTGAATTTTTCCATTCTGTAAATGATTTAAATTATTTCTGCTGGTTAACTTTTAGAGACCCTAACAGGCTTCATCACCAGATATAGATTGGCAACCTTAATCAAAACAAACTCACTGACAGTGCTGTTAGAGCTCATTACCATCCTCACCAGATGCTTCTGTCTGTATATATGAACATCTCCAGTTTTTTCTTTCCAGTACATGACCCAGGATACTAGTACAGCTTTCAAATTAAAACAAGAAATCTCAGTACAGCTTCAAATCCTTGCTCTTCCGGGGATTAAATCTGTGCAAGGCTATGACAAAGCATTTTGTATTTCTTGGACTTCTTAAAAACTTTTTTTTTATACAGATCACTTCACTGATTTTTTTTGCATTTCTCAGGAATTTACAGAGATATAACTAACACATACACTGTTTGCTTTCACAGAAAAAGTGCAGAGAGCATTTGTCACTATAATTATCACACAGGACTTTATACACAGATGAAACCTGTGCTTCTGTGACTGTGCAAAGCGAAGCCCTAACATGAGAGCTGTCAGAAATCATCACAGGAAAGAATTTTAAAACCTCGTGCATTGATTAAGTTTTCACAGCCAAAGTAAAGATCATAACAACAAGTTACGACCCAGCTCCAGTTTTTCAGTGAATGAAAAATTAGAGGGTAGGGAGGCCAAATATGTGGGCTTCACAAAGAATGTGTCCTTGGATGTGCAAAGCAGAGCCGATCAGATCCCATGGTTAATTTATTGGAAATGAAGTTGTGACAACGATCTCAGCCCCAGCTCATCAGTCACATAGGTACAAAGCATCCAAATGGAAAACAGATTTTCTGATTCCCTGCACCTCCCTGGAGGCCTGTGCTGCTGTCTGAGGACTGCAGCATTCTCCTTTCTTGGCTCATTTGCAAGATAAACATATTCTAGCCTCAAACACTGCTCCTTTCCAACTGCTGGTGAAAACTCCAATCAGTCTGAGAGATTAGGAGGATGATCTAGGGCACTACTCAATCCAAGAAAAATGCTCATGTGGGAACACAAAGCTGTTGTTGTGACCAGAGGTTTTTTTTTCCACTGGATCCCATTCTGCAAGTCCAGATACAAATACTTTCTATCTTTATTCTTTATCCATATTAACTTCCTTCCTTTTCTGTTTTTTTTCAAGGGAGCCAGACACTTAGACTTAAACAGATTTTTACAGTGCTAGTTAAATGCTGCTTTTCTGCACTTGATTTAAGATGTGACTCACACAGCCCTCATACCTGGGCAATACTGAGTTAGATCAGGACATAGTTTTACCATTTTCAAACACTTGCAGGAAGTAGTATTAATGATCAGACAGATGGAACTCAAATCTTAACTGCACAGTACATAAATTTATAGCTCCTTGTAGATAGAAGGTTCCTTGGGTTTTTGGGAGCCAGTAGATCAGCCCCTACCCTTAAGGCAAGCTACAGTTCAGCTGCTGCTTTCTGCCTGTCTGTGTCTGTCTCTGCTTTGGTCCCTGTTCTAAAACTGATGTATGGTGCTTCCAAACTTTTCAAGCATTCACTGACTTTTAACCCCAAATCAACTGCATTTCAGCACTTGGAGCAGCAGTTCCTCCATGCTCCTCATGAGTCCTTAGATGGGTATGGTAGAACCCTAAAATAAGTCACATAGCAAGTTTTAAAACACTAGTGGAAGACTTAGGGAAACTGCTAGTGTTGATAAAATTATTAGTGCTACAGACAGATCTCATGTCTTCATTATTATTGCCCTCTTCAAACTCAAGACATATAATTTGAGCACTGGGTTAGAAGCTACAACAGGAAAAGGACTAATTGCTCTGTTACAAAAACCTTCCAAGCAAGATAATTAAACAGTGTACATTGAAAAGCATGCACTTTAAAGGATAAAGAACAGATTAAATTCTTCCAGTGACACAGAGACAAGCTTTAAGTTGCTATGAAGGCACACAATTTCATTGACAACAGTGGCTAGAACAAACTTCATATCACTTATGTCTAGAGATGGCCAAACCCCCACAAATCTAGAAACCCTTGAACTCTGGGAAAACTTTGATCCAATCCAGACTTTATGGCTCTGATTCACTTCATCTGGGATGGACCCAAATCTGCTTAAAATATATTTCACAACACATTTTTGCTTGCATTTTTTTCCAATAGGTCATAAATACCACATGTAAAACCATTTACCCTCATTCACAACACCTAGCAGAGACAGCTATTCCATTCTCCAACCCAGAATGTTAAACAAAAAACTAAACTAAAACAAAACAAAAAGCCACAACAACAACAACAACAACAAAAGACTCAAGAGCAAGTTTTAGATCTTAGACTTTGCTATGAAGCAGTAAGAAGAAAGCTAAGGTACTAAAATCTGCACACTCAGAATGTTTGGAAGAAATTCAAACTAGTGAGAAACTCTCTGTGACTTGTACAGTGGAGAAGAGCTTACAAAGCTCAAACCAAGTCATATCAGTCCACTCTTGTTATCCCCACAAAAAAAAAAAAGGACTCATTTGATTACAGTTTCTAAAGAAGCATATTATGCAAATCTAGGGTTTGGGGTGGGGAGGCTGATAATGTAACAGCTTCATTCACTGTAGCAGGAAAGGTGAGATCACAAACCACATCGGAAGGTTGTGGTTTTCAGATGACCTAGATGAAAGTGACGAGACTAAGTAAAATCTAAGCAGGGAAAAGGAGTCTGAGAAGTTGTTTTGACTGCATTCACCACCAATAATTTAAAAACTGAGCTGTTAATAGCTTAAATCAAGTACAGCCAGACCTCAGATCACAGGATAATTCCAGAAGGAATGGACCTTAGGAGCTCAGACTGGGTTACTTAGGGCTTTATCCAGTTGGGTCTTGTAAACCTTCAGAGTCGGAAACAGCACAGCCTTCCTGGGCAACCTCTGCCCTTGCCTGACTTGACTTTGGGGTGAAAAAAATTTCCCTCACACCTAACCTGAACCTCTCTGTTTACTTAACACAACCCTACACAGCACTGTGAATAGCCTGGATCTGTCTTCTGGATGACTTCTCCATAGCTACTGGGTGGCTGCTGTTTCTTAGGTGCTCCCAAAGATGTCCCTCTTCCAGGCTGAACAAGCCTGATCCAGCAGCCACTCCCCAAAATGCAAGCGATCCAGTCCCCTGACTTTCGTGGCAACCCTCTGCCAAACTCATTCCAGTTTAACAATATCTTCCCTGTACTGAGGTGCCTGAAACAAGGCTCCCTATTCCAGATGTTGACTAACAAGTGCTGAGAAGATCATGATCACTACCATGGATTTTCTGTCTATCCTATTGTAAATATAGCCCAGGATATTTTGGGGTTTTTAGTTGCCAGGGCACACTACTGCATCATGTCCTACTTGCTGTCTACCAAAATCCCAGGTCCTTTTCCACAGAGTTGCTTCCCAACTATGCAGCCTTCAGGCTCTATTATTGCCATCAACTGTTCCTTCCCATGTGCAGGGTTTCACATCTGCCCTTGATGAATTTTCTAAGATTTCTGTTGGCCCATTCCTCCAGCCTGTCCAGATCCCTCTGGAAGGCAACCCTATACTCCAGTGTTATTGACAGGTCCTCCCAGTTTGGTGTCCCTTGGAAATGCGAGTGCACACTCTTACTTCTCATTCTTCAATAAAGATGTTAAATAGGAAAGGACCCAGGACAGATCCCTGTGCCATTCCACTTGTCACAAGACTCCAGTCAGAGTAGGAATCATTAACCTCTACCTTCTGAACCTGATCCTCCAACCATTTTTTATCCATCTAATTATCTGCCCATCCAGACTGTAGTACTCTAATTTTTATATAATATTATTGTGGGACATACCATCAAAAGCCCTGGTAATGTCAAGGCAAATGACATCCTCAGCTCTCTCCTGCAACAAAAACAGTGAGAGTTCTGGTATTGAACTTCAGGGAATTAGCTGTAACTGTTGGCTCAGGAAAGACACACTGTGTGCAAAATGGCTGGTGCATACACTCATAGAAGTATTCTCCAAAACACTGTGGAAAGTATAGGTTTGTATTACTGGGATGCCATACTCCAAATCCTTAGCTGCAATAATCATCCCAGTTCCATTAGGCTCAGTCTACACACAGTATTTCATCTCAGATAATGATTCTGGGATATTACACACATGATATTTGTTGCCACAGCTGTATGTGCAGGTTGCACAAACAGGACCAAGGAAGCATAAAGGAGGAATAACAAGAGAAACTACAGAGATGCAGAAATTCCTCAGTCCTCCTGGGAGATGCACAGATCCTCTGTGTTCCTGTGAGGGTCTTTCTCTTACCTTTGCAAGGAAATTCCAGGCTGCATATTGCCCTGAGGTTGTGCTGCTTTTTAGCTTCACTGTGTGCAACATCAGAAAGAATCCCAAGAGTCCACTGCAAAGGATGGGGAAAGCTTGTTAATAAAATCTCTTAACTTCAACTAAACAACCTCTTACAGACACCTTGGTTTTCCTAATGAAGAACTGCAGTGTTAATCCCATTTGGAGAAGGAAAGCTGGTGGACAAGAGGCTTACACTATGTCCAGTACACCTAGTGTTTTGTTCAGCCAGGGACTAGAATCTGAAAAAAGTAAGTCTGATACCCTTATGGCTGGTGTCTAATGCACTTGCATAATCAGAAAAGTAGAGATTATTGAAAACATGAGGTGAAATATTAACTTCAGGCATTGAAATGGCTCTGAATAACAGCAATGCTAATTTCAGCAGGAACCACACATATTTGGCAACTAACTCACTTCAACCTCCACAGAGCCTTGAACTGAAAAAATAACCACTGGAAAGTTTCTGCCTGAAGCTTTTAAGCTGTTTAAACTTCGTGAAGCCAAAATTCCAATTAGGAAGTCAAATACATCTCTACTGTATAACAAATAAATGGCTCAGTAGTGCTGGGAAAAGGATACTCCAAAGTTTTCTGCTGACAATTAAGAGAATTTTGATTCTCAAGTCTTATAGGACAGCAGTTCGGAGCTCTCCTGTAGCCAAGACTACCCTTAAGGAAATTTTGTTCCACATCTCAACAGACTTTATGGAGCTCATGAGGTTGGATATGTACAACCCACTCATTGTGAACCAGGGGAACAGTGTAAACCAGCAGGGAACAGAAGGGACTTCAAAATATGTAAGGCAAAAATTACTGTGAGGCATAAGAGACAACAAAGTGCTGTGGGAAAGGAGATAGGATCAACACAGCAGACAGGTGGTGAAGCAAAAAGTGCCTTGGTATTCACAGAGGGTATGCTGCTCTGGATAGAGGTGCCATGCAGTTGGTCCCCTCTCTACAGCAGCAGGAAGGGTGGAAAATGGTGGCTCCTCAGGTCAGAAGTCCTGTGCTGGGCTCCAGTATATTAGCCAAATGTTGTTCCTGTGCAACACATGTGGCCAAGTTCCAGCCCAGCTGCATGTCCATACAGGCACCAAAGAGCAGGGTAAGATAACTTGTCAGGAGTAGAAGGCATTGAGAATTTTTGCATTGAGCCATAACACAAGATACTTTGGGATGTATGTGAAGTCTGAAGCCAAGGAAGCAGATGCTAATTTGATGACAAAAGATAAGCCTAAACTCAGCAACTTGTTGCAGAGGATGGAGTGCTGAGCAGTAAAGCATTCCGCTCTGAGAAATGAATGAGTTCAATGAACCAACATTGCCCATACTTTTAAGAGTTCAGTAGCTTATTTCAGATCTTCTGCCCTGCTGTGAAGGGCCTTCAGTCATGAAGATCTGAAGATATTTAGTGCAACTCAAGATATAAAAAAGTGAAACAGCAAATTATAATACCTAAAATGTTGATGCGACAATTAACAGCGTTTTATTCCATTAAATAAATTGAGCACTTTCCACCTTACTGCTGATGCTTCAGACATTTTTCAAAAGCAGTATGAATTGCCCTTACCTTACATTGCATAGGTTTTCCTCCAAATCCCACATAGCTAAACAGACACTCAATTATGAAATGTAGGAGAGCAACTGAGATGTTTGTCTCTCCATCTAACCATTCCTTTCCCTTTCCTGCAGCGCACAGTGCTATCTACTACACATGTACTGAAGGTGGGCCAATGGAAACAGATGTGGGAAGCTACCACAGAGGTAAATAAAGTGAATAAAATAATATCTGGGCTAGACTGATATCCATTAGAACCTGCATTTAGGCCTCACCTTCAAGAAAAATAGATTTCACCCACTGACAGAATACCTAATTGTGAGTTACTTGTAGTGTGGATAGACCACACTTGGAAAAACATAACAAAAACCTATACACATTAGAAATTATTTAACAGTCATTCCCAATATACCCTTTCAATAGAAAATCCAGATACCAGTCAGAAAATGCCTTTCAAGAAATATTTTTTCCATTAGTTAGAATGAAAATATCTCTTTTCCCCTCTTAAAAAATAATTTGGTAAAAGACTGGGGAGGAAAGACAGGAATTAAAAAAAATTAAGATCTATGGGAAACATATTTATGTTGTCCTGTGAGAATTATGCCAATATGCAGTGAACTTTTGCTACTGAAAATAATGGAAGGCTTGTTAAAGCTTTTCCTTTTTACCCAAAACAGCATTCTGCCAAATCACAAGATGTACAGGCAAATAAATCCATGTACACCCATATACTGCTGAAGACTAATACTTAGTAATTGCTGCAAACAGCAAGTTTGGGTTAATCTGACTCCAGAAGCATTTGAGAGATGCTATGTATCAAAGCTCTGCTACATTGGGTAAACATTATTTTACTGGTGACTGTGAACTCTCCCAGTCAGAATGCACTCACTCAAGAACAAACATACTTTCAGCACATTTGAATCTCAGGCCATCAAATGCATATCCACAGACATGCAAAGATTTATTCTTTGCAATTCTACTGGCTTATGGCAGCAGAAACCAGTATAAGTAAGGCTTTACATGCTACAAAATTTTTAACTGAGAGTATAGGCTGGAAGTCAATTGAGCCTCTTATTTTGAAAACATTTACATGACCTATTATAGAGAGGTTACCTGGCACAGCAGCTGCTATGAAACCTGTAGAAGTACAGGAATGGAAAATCCAAGGCACTGAAGAGATCACCTGAGGGACAAAGCAATACACTCAGTAGGTGGGAAAAAAATTACCCACTGTTACAAGCAATGCAACAGCAATTACATGAACATTACTAGTGTAACATTCCTTTGAGCCTTTACAGCTGGCTGGCTTTTCATTTATGATGCTTTCCACATTTCTGGCGTGTTTAATGATTTCTCTCTGACCTTGCTTCTAGCCAGTTCTTGCCTTTGGTTGAAAAAGGGAAAAGGGATACCTAAGAGTATTTATTCTTTTCCAGTGTTCAGAAGGTCCTGTTTAAGCAAAAGTTGCCAGTGGACAGACATGTATCATACCCACTTCTTTTACTGTGCAGCATGAGATAGCTCCTACTGAAACAACAGGAAACACAGACATATGGTATCTGCTTCCCCCTCTGGCATTTGAACTCTGTAATACAGAGCATGTTGAGAGGTTCAAAGAGTTCTCCTAGGTCTAAGTAGAGCTCTTGAGTACTTGCATTTCCAGGAACCTGGACTTGGGTGCTCTTGGTGGCAATTCCCAGAGTTCTCTGGCCTTCAGGCTCTACAGAGTTACATGAAGCTCCATCTTTCACTTTATGAAATGCAAGACTGTTTCACTTAACATGTATGTCTATCCTGGTGGGGGTTTCCTATATATGCAATCTGCACCACCAGGGAAAGAGAGAATTTATGTTTCTTTAAATGCTTCCTTCTTTGTTTTCCTGGCTGAACAAATGTAAGAAACAGATGATCACCTTTACCCTCCTAATTATGAACACACCAGAAGGTAGGAATATTAACCACTATAAAATTTCTCAGTTTTTACCACCTGATGTGCTGCTACTTCAAATCCTGCAATGGGCCCAAGCAATGGGGTCCTTGTTAGGAAAGCAACAAAAGAAAAACTCTGCACAGCACTGGGGACAATGCAGAGAAGGAAACTCAGTTCTGGACTGCTGGGACACTGCTCTGAAGAGGATATGATGGCTTAGGGAATCCTTGTTCTTTACCATGCATCACCTCAAAAACTGTTCTTTGTTGTCAGCCCCATACTGCTTGTTTGCATGGGACAACTAAGAATGGTATTGGGAAATATCATGCAACTTACACCAAGTTATATGCCCTTCTCTCCTCTTCCTACATGACAACATATTATTGGCCATATTCAGCGCTAAAATCCTAAGGGTTTGGTCACTAAAAACATACACAGAAAGCAAAAGCAACATGGAAACTCCAGAAAGAAAGAACTCAGTTCACTTTACCTGCTGGATGGGATGCAGAGGCCAACAGCACCACACTAAAAAAAAAAAAATAAAATAATTGGATACTACAGAATTTATGACATGGGCTGAAGACTATAAATTGATAGCTTTGTGTTTGTTTTTCCATGGTGAAACTTATTCCAGTTAAGTAGAATAACTGAGACACAAATACCAATTAAAAGAAAACACAAGTTGATTGGAAAGGAATGTCTGGGTCACCTAATAAAATTTCTGACCTGAAGCAGGACTATCACAAATATTTGGTGATGCCCTCTGGTACTGTCTAAAAAGGCATGTCTCAAAAACCTACCAGCACAGAGATTCCACACCTCTCTGGGTAACTTTCCCAGGGCCACTCTACCCTCCCAGCAAAGAAGTTTTTCCTGCTGTCCCATTTTTAAACCACCAAAGTTGTAATGTATAGTTGTTGCTCCATATTATGCTTAATATTGCATGTAGACAAGTTTAAAAACACATGAAAATAAAACCAAGCACCAGCCCAAATTATTCACACTTTCCAGATACAAGTGAACAAGAAAACCAGTTGTGACCAGTTCTTTATCTGAAGTATTATCACTTAGGTTTTCTGAGGTCTTACAAAGACCTCACCCTTTAGCATTTGCAGTATAGGTTGTACAGAGTCTTTCTTTTTTAGTGTTACTGATTCTTCTTGTAAATTTCTCTCTGTTTTTATTTTAATTTTTATTATTATTATTTTTATTTTTATTATTATTATTATTTTTCACTCCTAATCGCTTCTAAGGTTAGAGAGCTACAAAAACATTCTGGGGTGCAGTGAGATGAGATAAGCATGCGTGTCTGTAGAGCTACAGCTTCTTCCAGTTACCAACAACATACATCCATGACAGTGGGAGAAGAAGAAAATAGTATCTCAAGAGTTTGCTTCCACTGCACTTACAGAGGTAAAAAGACATTCATTAATGTTATGAATGCTCAAGCATTCCAGGCCAACTCCCTTTTCCAGTGTTAACACAGCGACCATTTCCAAACCTGTTTCCTCACAGTTGGTCCCAGCTCTCTACAGGACCAAGCTTCCATGCTTGGTGACCTGCCCTTGGCAAGCTTTGGAGGACCCCAGCATCAGTCACAGAATCACCTGCAGCAAAAGGAACTGCAGAGAGCATGGAAATCCCATGGCCAAGGAAGCCCTGGGGGGAAGCTTGTCACTGAAATCAGCTGTGGAATACAATAGGCTGAAGGAGAAAAGGGTTTATGAGAGACAGACAGACAGGTATTACAGGCTTCACAATTTATAAGTCTTTGAAAGACATCAGATGGTACAGTATGTCTGCATTCTCAATATTTATACATGGTTTTAAAAGATGTTATTGCCACAAAGGTATTAAACAAGGCAAAGCAGATCACTTACAATAGGTAATTTGCCCTACCCCTCCTCCCCACACATGGATGGTCTCCCTGTAAAGGGATGCCAAGAGTAACTCACAATAAACAGGCCCAGTTCCTCAGTTTCCTGGTAAAGAGAGAAAAGGAAGCAAAGGTCTACTGCTTTTGACTGAATAACAGAGAAAATAGGAGACTGATTGGAAAAGTGAAACTGTATCAACAGTGATGAGAAGTAAGGCTAAACCATGTTTCTTCACTTACTTTTTGAATTATTATATTTTAAACAAAAATCCACTGAGACTGGGAAATAGTCAGAGAGAAACTTCCTTCTGCAACCAAGAGGAATTGATAACCTTAACGGACATCCCAGGTTTTGGTCCAAACAAAACAACAGGAGGAAACAAAACCTTCATTGTGAAGTGCAGGGCAGGTTAAGGCAAATGGATTAGATGGCATTACAGCTGCTCTGCAGCCCTGCTCTGAATGAAGCATCTGTAAAAAGACATGATGATGCTGTAAAACCAGATTAGGGATTCAGAGGTTTCTAGCAGGACAGCCTGGATGGATATGAGGCTGCAGCAAAAACAAATTCCATGGGCTGGATTTTTCTGCTCCTCTCTTTTTCCCCCTGTACTAAATACTGAGGGCTGGGTCACTCGTGGTTTCCTTTCTGAAAAAAAGGTTTTGTCAGCAAGAAAAGCAATTTATGCCTGCAAAGCTGCTCTCCCCTATTGCAGAAAATCTACTGCAGCATTTTTAATTCAGAAAAGTGACAGATTAGCAGCTCTTGCAGAAGCCAGATGTAGTTTTGCTGCATAGAGTAGAGCCTTTACCTCATAACTTTGCCATTTATTCACCATTTGAAATTTTCCTGTATCTGTTCTCTCCACACCAATGGCTGCAAGGCCACCTAGGCATGCCTTTCTGAACAAATTTCAGACAGAGATGGTATTGGGATGCACTGAACCTTGCAGGTTCTTCACAAGAAGTAAAGTACCTCTACCTGCCTCAGCATAGGAGAAAGCCCAAGAGGAGCTACAACTTGCTTCTAAGACATTTATGTCTCCCTCAACATGCCAGGCAGGCATTACTGCTCCTCCTCTCATGCTACCCCTCACCAGCTAAGGGGGAGAAATCTGGCTTCCCCTTTGATAAAAAGTGGGGGAAGAGAAAGGAATAAAAGAAAATGTAAGATTATGAGAAAAAAAACCCCACTATGAAGTAGAACACTAATGCAGAAGTCAGAGTACAGAGAAATACAATACTGCAGTTGAAAAAAGGGGGAGGATCAAGAAGATTGGAGGATTAGAGGCAGATCTTGGAAGTACATTGACCCTCTTCTCTTCCTCCCTGCCCCAGATGCTTAAACACAAGGGAGAGAGATGAGCTGGATGGGGCTGGGCACTGAGAAGCAACATTACCCCTCCCTTCTCTGCATAGCACAGCTCTGCTTTCCCTCCTACACTTGTTCCTGGCCTGGCTCCCTCTTCAAAAGCCATTGAATAATCATGTTGGAAGTGATGAAGTGAGAAGAATGCCAGACTTTCAACATCAGCAAATATTTCTTCAGATCTGTTTGATTCTGGAAAGTTCCCATTCATATACATTTACTTAGGGTGTTCTTTTCTTTCAAACTGTTCCAGATTTCAGAACAAGAAATAGTGCATGGTGTGTAAGGACAGCATATGTTAGGAGACTGCTCATTTCAGTTGCACGTCTGGAAGCATCCAACAGAGCCTTCTCTTTAATATATATATAAAAATATTTATTTATTTATTTATTTTTGCTCTAACATATTGGTATATTCTAACATCCAGTAATTTGTGGCAGATCTTTTAATCTGTTTCATGCAGGCAGTCTCTACACTCAGTAGAGTACAACTGTGCTTTCATACTGGACTGAGAAACACTTTGAACATAATAACATGAACATTTTTAATCTAATGAACACTTTGAACATAATCCTATGTGTTTTTCCTATGCATTAGGAAAAATTTCTTCACTAAAAGGCATGGAATAGGCTGTCCAGGGCAGTGTCTGAGTCACCATCCTTAGAGGTATTTTAGAGACATGTGGGGCTTGGAGACAAGGTTCAGTGGTGGTCTTGGTAGTGCTTGGTTAATGCACTCAATGACCTTAAGGGTCTTCTCCAACCTAAAAGATTGGATGATTCTAAACCCTATCTAGCTGTGCCCACATAGCTGCATGTCTGATCTAGGTTAGAAATAAAGAGCTTTAAAAACCTATTGATAATAGTTTTAGAAGGAGAAAGTTGCACTGATACCACACTAGCAAGTTCTTTAATAAATCATAGAATCATACAATCATGCTTGTATAGACAAGAGTACAAGTTCCAGTACACATTAAACTGTCCTGTCCTGAAGGTGGAACTCTGATCCAGTCATGGCCAGAACAGTCGTTGAGAAGGCCTGAGAAGAGGAAGCAGCATATGCTTAACACCTTCTAAATCACAAAATTTACTGCTGGGCACCCTCTGACAGAGATAATCCATGTCTACAGTAACTCTGACCCAGAGCTGCCTGTGAGGAGTTAGTGCTCATTCAGAGACCATTCCTTTAGTCAGTGATATTTAAAAGTATTTTGGATTGTTTTCTACAGAAATCAAGTTTGTGCAGTAAAGCTGGGTGTACACAGCTCCACATAGCTCTCAAGCATGCTGAACAGCTTCATCCAGATTTGTGAAGTGGCAGTGGTCTCTGAGATAACTACATATGCACGGGTCTCACACAGAGGCAAACCTTGCCAGTGCCTCCTGCAGCAGGATTCCAGTCCCATTAGACACTGGAGGAGACGTGTCATAGAGGTTGCAGACCAGGAGAGAATTTCTGCCAAACTTTACACCCTTTTAAACATCATTAGCTATTTTGACAAAACAAAACTCTAAAAGAATTCAGATGTCACTTATCCCATTGTCCATGGTACTGCTTGTTTTCCCTAGGCAAGATGAGATCCAAATGCTATGGATTGTGAACTTCTCTAACACACAGAAATGTATACCCATACAGACACACATACAGATATACACAGACCCAAACAAAAAAAATAAGCATCCAGTTGGCCACCTCCCTTAAGCCACCTGCTTTCCAGCAAGTTGCTTTGCACCATCATCTTGTGAGCTACGCTGACCTTTAAGCCTCTTCTTGGGGAAAAACTTTGGAAGCTTTGATAACAAATTTTTGCTCTTAAACAGATGCTGAAAATAGCAATCTTCTAATTTGCACAAATCCATTGTTGGATTGTTTGTTAGTTTCTTTTCTGTAAAAAGAACAGTATTAGAGACATATACTGCTGCACCTCAGAGTTCCTTAATGAGAAGTTTCTCCCTTTCAAAAGCTTCCAAATAAATTATTGTACTTTTCATGTAATGTGGGACTCCTGCTCTCTGCTGGACACAAGTTCACAGACTTCAAAGGGCCAAGATCATGAACTAACAGAGAAACAGCCCAGCCTTGACTTTTCAATCAAAGCTGAAAAATTAAGACTTTTGGCCAAAATTTGAATTTAAAGGTTCAGGCCTAGATGCAATTTTCAGCTAAAATGACAACTGAGAGACAGTCAGGCAGCTGCCAAATGAAAATCAATTGATTTTACTGCTTGGTTCATGATTTCCCTTCAACACAGAGAGATAGCTACATCTCATTCCAGACTTCATAGGTTATTTCTGCATGTCGCAGCATATTTGCAAATTCCACAACTAATTCTTCCAAAGTTTCAATAAACACACCTATCCTCTTTGTGCAAAATTGATTTGCTTTGCATTTCATAGTAGATGGAAAACAACAACTGACTTAAACAAGAGCCTACTTCAAGCAAACTGATATCCAGATATTGTCCATTAATGAGGCCCTGGTGAATCATAAAGGCAAAAGCAGAGGCCTGCATTACTTATTTTCAGAAACAGGAGATTTGATTGAACTAAGACAGAAAGAGACACAGTGTTATCATATTGACTATGCTCACAAGACGAATGGGAATTGAAGGAAAGCAACTGTCATACATTGGTGTCCCTGATGTACTTTTATCAAGGATCTTTCATGTGGCCAGACAAGAGCATATATCCATCTAATCAAATAGACTAGCACAACTTCATTTTTGTTATGCTTATTCCCAACTTCTGCTCCCTCTTTCACTCCTTCTGACCATATAAGGAATTTCTTTGAATTTATTATTCATACTTTGTGTTCCCAAATGACCTTAGGTGTGAACCCAAGAAAAGAGGCCAACATATATTAGATGCGATTTCAGATGGAAGAAAATTGAATCAAGTCTCTAGATGCCTTGCTTGAAATAAAGCCTCACAAAAACCTAACAGACGCCATGTACACTGAGTGTCCTGGTTTGCGGCTCTTTGAAGAAAGGACTGGATTTAAAAAAGCAGGGGAATCTGGTCAGTGACTCAGACTCTTTCACCAGCTCCAAAATAACAAGCCACTCTTCTATCTCCAAATCAGAAAAACAACTGAAAGTCAGAATTACTCAATCCCACTAATGGCACTCTGAACAATCAGTTACTGCTCGTGTTCTCTGCACACAGTACTTTTGTAATCACTACCTCCTCTTCTGGCAATTTTGTACAAGTTTTATTTTCTGAAGTGGGGTATTGCCAGGGAGTTACTCTGTAAATATTATTTCTGGAAGTGATAGATCACTTGTGCACGTGGTGATTTAAAAATTCATAATTAACACTTCGTTACCTCCTCAGGTGTATATTGGCATGTCCATCTACAACTGGAGCCAAAAAAATTCAGCTGCTAAGCCATTCAGCTTAGCTCTGTTCTTTCAGTGAATGTCCTGCTAAATAAATGCATTTAAGTAGTGGTAGCTCTGAGTTCCTTCAACAAGCCAAGGTTGAAAATGAAAACATATACCACATAAAACCAGCTCTGGTGTACCAAAGACTTATTCATTTTACCTGAATACATAGTTGATGTACTGTTGGTCCAGATCACTGTGGGAGAAGGCAAAGAAAAAAAGGTGGTTTTTTTTAGCAATGCACTTCATTTGGTGTAACAGATCAGTATATTAAGCAGTAATATACAGTAATGCTGTAATATTACATTATATTAATTTATATAATATATAATAAGGTTAATATTAGGCAATACTAACATTATATTATAATTATATACATTATTAAGATAACACAGAAAGAATTATATCAACACCAATCAATTAATTATCAATTAACCAACATATTAATTTACACAAGATTCACACATTATTTCTGTTGTTACTATTAATAGGAGTTTTATTTAAAATTAAGATAAAGTGAGACTGATTAAAATTTAGATCCTTTAACCAGAGATGGAAAATGGTTTTGAAATAAAAAAGCTTATCCATGCATGTATATTATACATCATATACAGTGTCAACATACTCATCCCCATCCATAAAGAAAACTGCAGATTACAGACACTGTGAACATGCAATGCCACCTGATTCCAAGACTACTATTGTGTGGCTGCAGTTCTAACATGCACATGGGATTAGTGCAAGGTTCCAAGGTGTTTAAGGTACTCAGCCATTCCCATCCTGTGGTAAGCCACCAGCTGCTGAACACTTTTGAGACTGTGTCACAAAGGCAGATACTGAGAGATTCAAATCATGTAGCTTTCCACATGAACACAGACTAATATCTCCTCTTAACACCTGTGCCAGTAATTAGGGGTTCTTTTTCCAGGGCTGAGTCATCACCCTTGGATAATACAGTGTTTAAAACTAATTCAGTGTTCCAGTTAGAAGAATAACTATCAATAACCACATGCTGTTGCTACCAACAATAAATAAGGCTCATCTTGCAAGAGAAGTCATTAATGATTAACCAGGAGTGGCCCAGCTCCTGCTGATTGTGCAGAGCTCCCTACATCACAGTCATCTCTCTTTATGAAAAAATAGGAAAACACATTACCTTAAAGATCCAGGTTTCCACAACTTGTGAAATACTTTGTAAGCCCCTGTAATTGAAATGACATGTGTAATTGTCATATCGTGCAATCATTCTGACAAACAACAGCTTGTTTGGCCATGGTACTGGCAGACATGGAACCCCTCTGAATTACAGTTTAGCAACACAGCACAAAAGATTCCTAAACCATGAGTAAAATGAACCTATTGCTTCAAATTAATGGCTTTCAAAGTGTTATCAGCTCTGAGCACAGTCACACTTCGTGGTTCTGCTAGTCCTTCTGAGGACATCATCTAGCTTACAGCAACAACAAAGGAGAGATTGTGTGTTTGTGCATGGTTTTGTGTGTAAATACAAACAGAAAAGTGTCACAGAATGGGTTCTTCAGCCCACGCCATTTTGGAGGTAAGTTCTAAGATATATATGATCATGTACATAGAGCTGTCAGGTCTGAGCCATCTTTCCTATTTAAAGTTCTCTCAGCTCTACTGTCTCCAGGTTCTTCACATTCTTGACCCACCCATCTACCTCTTGTTAGCTTCCATTTCTGTCCTGGGTAAAGATTTGAGCACTCATGAAAGAAATGACACAGTTTCAGGCTCTGTTTTTTCATATCCTTTCTTCCAGGCTTTGATTCACAGAGAAAATCAGAATATGAAAAGTCAATCCAGTAGAAGACTATGAAATAGATATCCTCAATTCTGCCTCCAGTACACAAGTTGAAGGGTATCACACTCATCCTTTCGGTAATGCTCTCTCTTGATTTACTATGCAGTAAGTTAGTTCATCTCTTTGCTCTCTCTCGTAGCACCTTCATTCCAGCAGATAGGAAATCTAATTACACAAATAACTCCCAAGAGTGACATCAACAACTCTCAAAACCAGGAGAAATGGAAGGCAGCTATATTTTGAGCATAAACACTCTGTTGGCACTTCCTACATGTTTCAAACACACAAATGAAGCCTTCTGAATATTCTCTAAGCAATTTTCCACCTCCATGACCAAGCATTGCTTTACAAATGAGACTCCTTGGCTCTGAGAAAGCAAGAACATCACTCATTGCAGCAAAAAAGTATTTGAAGTGGAAAATCCACAGCTTTTACTTTTATATAAATGAGCAAATGTTTACTATATGATATTTCTCAAAAAACCACCACAACTATTTCTTATTTGTATGTTAACAACATTTCAGATGGGGATCTCTAGACCTTCCTAGACAAGAATACATATAAACATATTACCTCTGCCCTGAAAATTTTACAGTATGAATAGAAGAATAAAGAAGGAATCATCCCTAATCTGCAGACAAGACTTAACATATGAATGAGTCACTCACTCAGTATATAGGACAGATAAGAATCAAATACAAGTCCCTTATTATCCCCCAAAATACTCCAAAAACCAAAAATCTCCTATTAAATATTACTGCTCTTGTTTTCTTCAGATTTTCTAGCTGACTGTTTCTAGCTTTTCGGGGAACAACTATGATTTATCCAAATAAACATTGGTCTGAAAAAAAAGACAAAAGAAAACCTGATAGGTTATGCAACTTATTGTTAAATTGTTTAAAAAATGCATATGATTGCCTAAAAAACTCCAATATTTCAACATCCTTCCTCTGGGACTACAGTCCATGATATTTTAGGATATTTTTGACAGTTTTAAAATAAAATCTGTGTGTGCAATGAAGCTCCAAGTACAAATTATTGCTTGTTTTTTTTTCATATTTCTTCTCCCCTCAAAAAGAAGTCTCTCTCAGTAGGCAACCATCAAAAAACAAACAGAAAAGCTTAGTGCTGATTAAAATTGTATGTGCATTTTCTCATCCACTGTTAACAGACTGCAATATGCAGTGTGTTCTGTTGCTGTTTTCAACATAAAAGCTATAAAAAGAATGCACTTTCTTATATTTACTGATCTCCATTCTTTCCAAGTGTTTCTTACATATAGAGTTTGAAATATCAGTAAGTACATAATAAAGCTGGTTTCTCCCACACATTTTCTCCTCTTAATTCTTTTTCTAGAAGAAAATTACTTACCAAGACAGATCAAGTGAATTAGAGCCCATAAATATCCGTTTGGATCAAACTGCAATAAAGAACATCTACATAAATAAAAGTATGAACATGTAAACATACATATTGCATTTTCCCTGCAGTTAGCTTTGCAAAGCAAGTACAGCAAGTGGAAGCTGTGCTACAAAGAAAGGGAATATGACTAAAGAAGACTAGATAGACTGAAATTTTTCCTGTCACACTCAGAAACCTGGCATATGCCAATTATGCAGGCTCTCAGCTCGTCTCAGCAGGGATAATTCTATTTCAGATGTGTACACCGGTTTCCAGACTCATCTGACTTCAGATATTAACTGAGGTATCTAAGTAAGGAAGCAGCTTTCCTAAGTCTCCAAAGGAGAATCTCCAATGATTAGATCTTTCCTGAATGGAGCTCTCTGGAGGCACCTCCTTTCCTTCTCAGGCAGCCACAGAAAGAGTGTACAGTGAATAAAAAAAGTAACTCAAGAAATTCCTGAAAGACAACTAGCTCAAACCTAAGTGATTTGCTGTAAGCACTACTAAGAAGTAAAACTGTGGTTTCCCCAGCCACCACCTGAGCTGTATGTCCACACTGCTCGGAGGTTTTACCATGATGCAAACACAGTAAACCCAGCAAGACTATAACACAGCAACAGGAAACATTCACAATTCCCTTGCAGGAATCCTACTCTAGCTTACCAGTAAAAGCTGCATCCCTCATATGCTAACAAGAGGTCAAGCATCAAGGCCTAGCTCAAGCTGCTTTACAAAGCAGAGCTCACCTGTGTGTCACACAAAGGAAGGCACACTGCTGCTGCCAGGAGGAACAGCACACTGTGGAGAAGGGAAAGAAAACAAAACAAAACAAAACAAAAAAAAAAGCTTTCAACCTGGATTTCTACTCCCAGCAAAGTAGAGGCAATTCCACTCAATTTTACACTGACACTTCACTTCTTTAATTTTTTTATTCCATGTTTAAGAAATAATTTCTGTCACCAAATTTTTTACATAATGCATTCCTCATAACTTGTACACAAAGTTTTATGGGAAGAGAATCAGCACAAAACACCTCAGAAGTGATAATAAGCAAGCTTTTTTTGGTAGAGAATATTTTTCTTCACTAGCCATCTGGCTTCCCTAGGCTTTTTCAAAAAGCCAAAATCAGCCAATATCTGGCTGAATGGCTACCAAAAAGTTCTTTCATTGAGATTAATTGCCTGTTACAGCAATTCCAGCAGATGTGACTCCATTACAAGTGACATTGTTACTCCAGAGCACAGAGCAAGGCAGAATTGACTGGTATATACTGGAAATGTCTTAAGGACAGCACAGGTCCTCTCCTAGTCCACCAACTTAAGCTAAAAAAATTCTTAACCTGTGGCTGAGTCAGTATTTCTTTAAGCTACAGGGAATACACTGTGGAATTTCTGTGGACTGTCACTATTAATATTAATGTACACTTGGTTTTGCAGCTTATTTTCTTACTCTCTAAGGGCATGGGAAAAGACAGAATAAAGATTATTTCAAAAATGGTATCCTTGACAATACTCCAGTGGTGAAGACAAGGCCACATTGTCAGATAATGGAAACAACAGGAAGAAATTAGGAAGATAATGCCTCTAAGTACACTAAATAACCCAACATTATCCATTCTAAAGTACAGCTAAAAGATTACAGGATGTGGAAGAAAGTAAATATCCATTCTTCAAGAGGATGTGGGGGCATAGAATCAAAATTTTAATACATGACTGTTGATTTCTGTTTGGCTCTTTCCATCTCCTTTTTGAAGCCTAAACAACCAGGGCCACCAAGGGTTGGCAGTTGTGCAGTTTAATATCACAGAATTACAGAATCATCAAGGTTGGAAGAGACCTTCAAGATCATCTGTCCAACTGTCAACCCAGTGCCACCATAATCACCCTAAGCCATATCCCCAAGTGCCACATCTTGAACTCTTCCAGAGATGGTGACTCTACCATCTCCCTGGGCAATTTATTCCAATGACAAACCACTCTTGTAGCGAATTTTTTTTCTAATATCTAATCTGCACCTCCCCTGGTGAAATTAAAGGCCACTTCCTCTTGTCCCTTCATTTGAGATATGGCAGAAGAGACTGACTCCCACCTCGCTATGAAAGATTCTAGCTGAAATGGATCTTATTTACTTTCATTTCTAAGGCAGGGAATTTTTAGCTACCTTCTAACACACTAATTATCTTTCTCTTACTGCTTACAATTACCCACTGGAAGTTCAAACCTTCCAAGCCTTTCCAAAAGCATTGTTACAGGTTGTTTTATCATTAATTTCATTTTTGTAAGGAGAAAAAACATATCAAACTATTCAAGCAATTGCTAAAAAAACCCCTAAAATATTTAATTACTCCTGTGTTGCAACTTAGGCTCACTGCCCACAGGAATGTGCATTACATTCTTCATTGTTTTGGTGTGTCATTATCTGAAGCAAATACAGAAGCTGGAGCCAAAACAAGTCTGAATCTGAATCTGAGTAGTTTTAAAAGCTTACCTACAGACTTTCAGATGAGAGGTCTGCTGTAAAAAAGAAAGTATGATTAAAACATTAAAATTTAATGATAAAAATGGTAAAATAGTGTTTTCTTCTTCCAAAAACTGGAAAGTGATGACAGCTGATCTTACTGCACCATACACATTAAAACTGCAATGAGCAGCATTCAAAATTTGAGCACTGCTTAGCAAATTTAATTTGATAAAGAAGAACAAGGATTATGGATCAGCCTACTTCACCTTGATTTATATTTTCAGATTACTTACCAGCAAGTAAACTTAAAACCGGACATGAACTTTATACCTGCTCCTCAAACTTCACTTGAATTGTACCAAAACTGTGTAACATGTGTATTCAAATATTGAGTTTTCCTAATTAGGTACTACCTCATACAAACTAATCTTGATTTAAACTCATTACATTTTCCCAATATTTTGGTATAAAATTATTCCTGAGGAGCTTTCTGTTAGGCCTGTGTTTGCATTATCCTTGTCTGTGCTTTTGTTTTTAAAGAGGGGAGTCATAAGCTTGTGACATAGAAGAAAAATATGAAACACTTTGACAAGGACACTAATCAGAGGACAATGACACAGGGACATGCCATGGTACACGCTGCTATGTCCCTTGGGCATAACCTCAGTGATCTCTTCTGTTTGTTAGATGAAGTAAACATCCATTTATCTGTCTTCTATACAGAAAACAGTTATAATGAATGGAAGATGCCTTTCACAGCAAGCCAGAGGCCACTGTAGAAACAACTTTGTGATGAATGATTTCCCAGTGTTAGTTCACACAACAACTCTGTAGTCAGTTAGAAAAACGTTTCAGAAAAAGCCTAAAAAGAAGGCTCCTGAATGCAGTTTGTAAAAAAAAAAAACAACCCAGTTCTTACAAAAGGGTGCAAGAGTTATTCTCCTGACTTTCATAGGGGCAAAATCTCAAGCATTCAAAACAAATTCAAAAATGCACTGTTCCTCCTGCATTTTATGTGGAGATGTGACCTATCTGTAATTATACAATACACAAGATCTATTATACTGATTAGATCTAAGGGCATAGTCCTCATTCCTCTCAGCTCAAACAATGAGATTTTTATGTGGGGCATAAGAGAGAGGGAATATTAATTTTCAAAAGCAAAAGATAAGCAGGGCCAAGCCAGTCTTAAAAATGCAGATCAGACTGGTGATATGTATTTGCAGTATTTCATCAAATAAAGGGAAAGGAAACATCAGTATAGATACTTGTCACCAGCAAAAAGCTCTCTCAGGGTCTCAGTAATGAATTGCTATCACAGTGAGTCCACAAAAGTACATAGCACTAATGCCTGTATTAAGAGAAATTAGGTATCTTGTTCTAGGGCAGTTCTATCACAGGAGTGACCTTGACTAATGGATCAATTACCTCTTTCTGCACAAACTTCTGGAACCCACAGGTTATGACTTCTGCGGCGTTGTGCACAGTGAGGAACACCGGGATTGGCTGCCATGGGGAGAGAACAAAAATGTCAAATCAACCCAGAGCAGTCACACACATAGGATGGGGCACTCCTCCTAGAAACAGCTGCCCCACACGTCTGTGGTTTGGGGTTTTGTTTTTGAAGCTGTAAACCCATGCCACATCACCTACAAGAGACTTAACCCCTTCCAATCACTAGCACATGGGCACAGGCATCTTTAAATGCAGACCCCCCTGCAGACCTGCTTGCTGTGTCTCCCACTGCTGAGTGCTCAGTCAGTTTGTTTGTACCCAGCTACCCCAGGGAGATTTGCTCCAGGTTTCAGTCTCTAGTCTTCCCTCTCTGATCCAGGATCTTCAGCCTCCACAGCAAACAGTTCTCATTTGTTGTCCCATCTCTGTCTGCTGGTACTAAGAATACAGTGCAACTCCTAGCAACAGATTTGTGGGCAAGACAATTTTAGGTGATTGCTTTCAGTTACTGCTAGGAAGAGCTGCCCAAAATTAGGATAAAAATGCAATAGTTCATACACAATGATGTTGAAATTATACCCACTGAGGTATCTGGACACCATCCCAACATGAAATCATTAAGAAACAAACCCCAATGATAACAATAATGAATCAAACACCCATTGCCCCAGGCATACCCAACCAGAATTAGTGGTTCATAATACTTCCTCCTAATCAGTTCCATGGTCTCTCAGACAGCTGAAGCAGAAGCAATTCTCTACTCTGATTAAGATAATCTAAAGACTAAGCCATTTTAGGAAGCAGTATTTCCCCACTCGTGTACGGTATTTAAATGACAGTAGCAGAGAATGGAATTATTTCTCAGTAATGTCCAAACTTTTAAGTACCAGGTGATATAAGCAGCAAATATCTCTCAAATATGACTTTGCATATTTTTTGTACTTTTCTTTTCTTTACATGTTAGAGAAAAGAAGCCAGACAAGCATTGCTGATTAAACATTTAAAGTCATAATGACAACTGGGGTGGGTCTATAGTCTCAACAGTTGCACCAAAATAAGAATAGAAATCACACAAACAAAACTGGCATTAAGTTGTTGGACCCAGCTTCACTGGCACTGAAAACCACTTCTCAACCCTGTTGCTGGATAACTGAGAACATAAACCCAGAAGTATTAAACATAAAAGTACTCTGAGCTTGACACAGTAATAGGAAATACAAGAAATACCCATAAACAAGGAAAGTTGACAGCAGAATTTACATTCTCTCCTTTGTGAAAGCCAATTTCTTGGGTTTTTCTTTCCTCCCTTCTGCTTTTGGCTCTTCCAAATGTGTTTTGGAGCCAACAATGGCTCCAGTTTGCCTAGCCCACTTAACCTTCTCCATATGTCTATTGCCTTTGATGCAAGCATTTCTTAAATTTGTGAGTGGGCTTAATGCTTATGAAAAGAAAGGTTTACTGGTTGGGCAGGCAGGATGAATACACTCTGAACAAATCTGCAGTCATGGCTCTTCATACTTTTTTTAATCATCACAGTCTAGAGCTAAGCAGTCCTCCTCCAGTTCTAGCCCTGAATCCTTGGTCGGGGGAGATTGCCAGCACCTCTAGGAAGAGGCACAAACAGAGATTAAAGTTGTAGCTTTGCCAGTATACAGGAGTGTTTGAAAGTAGGTCCCCTTGGATTTGTTAATAAAAGTACACATAATTTCTGCTTTAGAAATAAACCCTCTTAATTAAAATATGCTGTTGAGATGAGCCAATTCAGCTATGAGTTTGGGAGAGTCCATTTTCATTTTCAGTGTGTCATAAAATTGTTATAGACAAAGTTATTGTAAGTAAAGCTTCTACATAGGATTGAATTTAGCCCCACTGCAATAATAATTATGGCCTAAAACTGCTTTTCATTTTGTCTTGCCTAGTAAAATCGCCACAGAATTAAATCTCTAAATCCCCATTCACGTACAACAAAAGCCATTAAGAAATGTGAGATGCTCCTTAAGAAAGATTTGGGATACAAATCAAAACCCTGCACAGCCCTTCTGCCACTCCAGTGCAGTTCACTCATGAATGACCAGAGCAGGAGCAGGAGGCAAATACAGTAACTTGCAGGATGACCAGGAAGTAAGAAGAAATAACAGAGAGGATGTGATTCTTATCTTCTCCACAACCCAGGTGAGCAAGGAGAAAAGAGGCTGCTGCCAAGGCTTTATTGGTGCTTCCAGACAGGGCTTTCCTTATGGGACTTTGCTCACCTTACACTAAAGAAGGCAAGCAGAACTTCCTTTGACAAGGAAGCAAGAGGAAGTAAATGCAATCACACTGAGAGAGAACTGATCTGGGATCATGGGGCTTCTAAGCACATGCCTTCCCAAGATTATTTGTGTCCAAGATAAGGCCCCCAGCCTTGCTTACAAGGACAGAGACCTCCTGTTCTTTTCTGCTCTATCTCTCTACTGGGATTTTCAAGGGATCCCTGCAATCAGAATCTGGTAAAAAAAGTCCCTTTTGATTCTGCTTAGGGCTAAGGAGGTGACAGGGGCAAGCTGGCTCTGGAGCTACATTAAGATACATTGACAGAATGCAGAAGGGAACTAGTGCAGGATCTGAGCTTGCAGACTGCACAACAGCAGCAAAATATTGTTATTTTTAAAAAATAAATGCCACCAATTTCTTTTACTTTTTTAGGGAAGACTATATAATTTAAGCATAAAGCATTCAAGTTTCATGAAAGGAGATTTGACATTCTATGAACATTTGGTAAATTACTGTGATGCAAATGAATCCTAAAATGGAGTAATCTAACCCTTCCCATAATCTCTTTCCAACTTTCTATTTATTTTTTCAAATCCTTCAAAGAATCAAAACCTTCTCATTGAAACAGTCTTCATCAGTTTCCTGGAAGGATTTTCCACAGATCCCACAAACCCATTCCTCCTTTTGCAAAGTTACAGCTACTGATTTCTTCAGCTTCTTCCCTACCTGTACAATTCAGACCACTGAGGACCTGTTCAGTAAAACACTAAGTGCTCTGTAGAGATGCTGAGTGCTTCAGACTGTCACAGAGATGCTTTTTGATGTTTAGTAGGATTGGACCACTGCATTAGCTCCGCTAACAATGGATCTATTATTTAAAGTCCTCCTCCCTCCTTCTCCCTCAACCCAGGAACAGCATTAAACGCCATGTATGAAGGGAATGGTCTTTGTTTACAAAGTAGAGGTAATAAAGAGCTGACTTCTACTGGTTTGTTTCTTACCAATCTAGACAGTGCCCTGGAGCCAGCATAAATAATGCCCACAAAAAGTACTGATGCAGGAAGCCATGACAGGATTTCAGACCTGTGAAAGCAATTAAAATCCCATTATTTCACCACATTCTGTTTACAAACAGAAAGCAACAGTTGCTTGCAATGAATGTAATAATACATATATATGTACATTAATTTCAAACATGTGCATGTTAAAGTCAGTATGAGATTGCTCAGTATTCTTCCCATTTACTAAGGAGTCCAAATTAGAAATTATTCATTTTGTCTAATCCAAGAGAGGAACTAACTGCAGATATATTTTCTTTGTTTTATTCTTTCCCTGTCTCCTCTCCCTCCAAAATCACGCTGTTTTTTGGGGTTTTTTCCTCTTGTAGAAATGACTGCCATTGGTATTAAAGGAAAGACATTTCAACTAATTTCCTTGATGTTCTGTGAAAGGAACGAAACCCGACAAATGAAGGCATAAAATGGCTCACTTGCATAGACAGCACACATTTTCACTATCTACAAATACACTGGGCCACCCACACATTCATTTCTCAGCCAGATTTACAAAGAGATTCTTCATAAAGATCAGGTTGTCTCTGTGGAAGTCTATCTCTTGAGATTTCCTAATCATATTCCTTTGACTAAGCCAAACTCCTAGAGGCAGTTTGACAACTAATGGAGGAATGAAGTCATCAGATTGATCTGATTAATTTTTTTTTAGCCATGGTTACTGCAGTAGGGTCAGGTTTCAGTTCTGAGAGGGGCTTCAGAACTTGCATTTCTCTTATTTTTGGTCTTGTTACTTAAGGGGAAAAAAGGGGACAGGTAGGTGGTAAATTCCAAAGAGAATAATGTATGATTTTTGGCAAGGGAAGAAAGCAGTAGCTGTGAGGTAAAGGCCTGAATCAAGGGCCTCCCAGGACTGAAGACATGGCTGACCCATTCACTCTTCCCAACCTTGGAATTAAAGCGGAGAAAATGTTAATGGGCAGTGCTAGTTCTCAAAAAACCAAACTGCTTGTTCTCAAACAAAACCAAACTGCTTGTTCTCAAAACAAAACCAAACTCCTTAGTTTGCATTACACTTCCAATTAACATGTAAGACTTAAATGTAATTGTAGATACTGGTACACCAGCACATTTCATGGAACACAAGAAAACAGGCCACTAAACAATGAAATCAAAACAGGACGAATAAAGATAAAACATGCACAAAGATTCATGCAATCACAGACAAGGGAAAAACCATAAATACCACATTTCCTCTGTTATTATACATATAATTTTCCAAGACGACAAAAACCCAGGGTCACAAAAATAATGTTTAGATCTTTTAACTGGCATAAATATTTGCCCTGGGTTTTCTTGACTAGTCTCCATAAATTTTTATAAAAACACTGTTCCTTTTGAGGTTACTGACTTCAACTGGAGTCTCATCAAGTCCAAGATCTAATACTGTCATACCTCATTACCAATGAATTCACATCAGACACTAATAAAAATACCCCTGCACTATTGGAACAGCAACAAATTGAAGAAAGGGGGAGGGAAGAAAAGAAAGTGGCTCTGGGAAGATAAAAGGAACACACGATAAAAACCAAATTTTCATTTAGAACATAAAAATACCACTCTTTCATGTTCCCCACCACTAAATTGTAGGAATCCCAAATATGTCTTCATCTCCAAAGCAATTCTGCGAAGTGCAATGGAAAAGGACTTCAGATGCTTTTTCCATGATGTAAGGGTAGAATTTTATGCTGCCAAGTGGGAATTTCAGGACTGAAAAAGAATGCACGGATGTTTGATGTAACGTGTCAGCATCAACAATCTGTCTTATATGTAAACCAATTAACAGCTTCTCCTGTTGGCAATACACTGATGTACATGAAAAGTAGGAAGAGAAATAGAGAAATAATGAGTTTGTGGTTGTTGTAGGGCTAAATCCAAATCCCATGATAGGCAATGGGTAGGTTCCCCCAAACAACACTTAAAGAAAGGCTCTGAGCTGCTGCTTGGATATGGGTGAAATGCAGCACTACAAGATATGCCAATCAGAACACATCAGACTTATGTGCCTACAAGGCAGAAGCTGGGCAGCAGACTGGAAGCATTATGCAGATGCTGCATGTTGCTCTGTGTTCCACAGAGCCCTTGTTTTGGATAAAAAAAAAAGCTTTGCAGACAGCCAACATTTGCTGTAAAGAAGCAAAGACAGAAAATTCCTTATAGTATGTCCTGGGGGAAGCAGAGACAAAGCAGGTTATCCATAAAACCTGAGTGAGATTACTTTAAATAATAAGGTTTTATTTGGTCTTTATAGTGAGGTTAGTATTCTGGACTTTGGACAAAGGGCAATGATCCCTATGTAATAACTTAATTCTGCTGAGACACTTTGGGATAACCTGAACTGGCTCAGAAAGTATATGAGATCAGTCCATGTGACAGAAAAATCGAGACTTCATGGACATAAACAAACAAATGGATGGCAGTTTATTATTTGAAGCACGATGAGACTGACTGAAGACTGGGTATGATATTCCTAAGTATCCTACACATAGACAAAACCCTCCCCTCTAACCAACAGATAGATTCAGAGACATATTTTGTAAGGGGGGATGGAAATGTCCATATCCCAGTGGTAGCATTAAAATCACGTTTGCACGTTATGCTTGTTTGTTTGTTTATTGATGAGCTTTTTTATTGGTAATGCTTTGGAGGTTTAAAGGGTTTCCATGTTTGGGTTTTCAGGCTGCTTTTTGTTTTGGCTTTGATTTTTTTTTTTTAATACAGGAAATGTTACAAATCCACCTCTGCACAGCAATAAAGCATGTGCCTAATCTTTGTGAAGAAAGGCAGGTTTAAACTCATGCTTAAATAGCTGGATGAATTATAGCCAAAACATGTAAATTAATTCTGCTTGTTCCATTCAGTTTATTCTAGAACAGGTATTCTGTATTAATCAAGCTAACTAAGAGGTTTCTCAAGAGGGATTTCAACCCCTTTCCCTACAGTGCGCTGACATCTAGTGGCCCCAAGTCTCCAGGGTCAAAACATGAACTAATTTTTCATCCAAGTCTTAATATAAAAACAATCTCTTCAACATCAGCGAGTAGTTCTTGTCCTCTATTTTCTTTAATGTCTTCCCAGGTTTTGAAAAGAAAAAAGTCTCTTTTCCAAGCTGGGAAAAAAAGATTCAACTTCTTCAATTTAATAATTTAAAGCAGAAGTAATCATTAGTGTAGAAAAGCTGAACTATAAAAGGACTTTACTGATGGCTGTATTCTTCTAGACTGTTTTGTGATGACAAAATCTGCATAAACAATATAAATTTGATAATAATATATATATATGTATCAAAGTAACTGCCAGTAAAGCAAGGTTTGGACCCTAATCCTGTCTCTGCCAAAGTCACTGCCAAAGACAGCTTTTATGATATCCTCAGTTTATTGCAGCTATAAAATAGGGAACTGAATTATGTTTTCATTTATGACCTCCCTTATATTTCCATAATGATGTAATCACTTGTATGGACATGAAAACAGAACACAGCCTGGTTTTTCTGACATGCAGGACTTCATTCCAAGTGAGGAAATTCAATTTTTCAAGCCAACTGTCTGAATCTCAAACAGAAAATTCATCAGTTGTCACTTGCTAATACAGAATCACTGAGTAAAGGTTACTTTAGAAGGGGTGTGTGGCAGTCATTTAGTCCAAACACTCCCAGCTTCAGAGTCAAGTCACATTACTCAGGTCATTACCCAGGAAAGATTTTAGTATCTCCTGAGATGAAGATCCAATGATTGCTGTGGGCATACATCTTCTAAATGATACCATTTTGCACAATGAAAAAGATGCTGCATTCCATACTGCAGAATGAATCCACCTGAGCAGAGCATGATGACTCTTCTGAATTGTGCTGTCACACTCACTTCAAGCAATGATCTTTGTCTACAAAGCACCATTTAATTTGGAGTTTTATTGTTAACATCGGTTAGGAAAAGGCAAATAATGCCCATTTATGTGACACAGCTCTCAGAAAAAGGCAGATCACCTTTGTAGACTTCACAGCCCCGAGGGTTTTGCAGAAGACTGTGTCAATGCTCTTAACTAACATTACCAAGGTTTCTCTTACAATACTAAGAAACAATCCAGGGAAGAGATTGTTTCTTAGGGACAGATGTTTGGATAAGACATCCTTATTGTTTTCACTATGGGGTTTTTGGTTGTCTTACCAAGGTTAAATTAAATCCACTTTATAAAAGTAGTTGGTTTAAATGTGTGTCATTGAACACCCATTTAAGTAAAATGTGAGTTCTCTTCTACATCTGTGAAGCAGAACACCCACACCCCCACATACATCAAACTCTATTTTAGCCAGTTAATAACATCCATGAGCAACTTAACTGTGTTGTAATCCAGGTACAGAAAAGAAGTGTTTGGCAGATAGCAAAAAACCTTCAGTACCTTGAACACAAGTTTATCTCCACCCAGCCCAGCTTCCAGGAGATGTGAAGCAGAAGTCCACCCACCAATGTTTGCCACCTGAAACAGAATGACACTAGGAAATAATATGTGAAGCCTAGGGAATATGTGCAGAAAAGTTAGAAAAAGTACCAAGTAATGCACACTGATTTCTTTTACACTTTAAAATAAGTTATCAGCTTTCTTCTTCCTTAAGCCAGTGGTTTTCAGAGAGGTGTTCCATGTTCCTTGGGTGGAAATCCTCGAATATCTATCCTTTTTTTGGATGAAGAGCACATGAGAGCTTAAAAGCCAGGTTTCCCTGACATTTGCTGCAGGTTTGACTATGCTCTATCCAAACCAGTGGTGAAATCCCATCTGCTTCATTGTGAAAAATTTTCTCTTCTCTCAGGTTTTAAGGACAGAAGCTTGTGACAGTTTCAGATGCTTAGGAGTATGCAGTATTGTCTCAGATTATACAGAGAACAAAACCAAGGACAATGAACAGTAACAGCATGAACTGAGAGTTACATTCTTTTCCTCTTTCCTCATCTGTCACAGGTCTAAATGAAAGTGCATCTGAGCCACTAAAAAAATTCCAAGGAAAGGTCACTTTTAAAAGCCAGAACTTAGGGAAAAGTATTAATATTATGGTAATATTAAGATATCAAATGCATTTCCAAACAATAGAAAAAGGTAATAACTGTGGTAATACATATGCCATAAGGAGGTTGCTTGCCATTGAAATACACTTTTCTGTTGATTCATGTCTATTTTACACAAATTACTCAAAACCCTCTCCCCAAATGATAAAAGCTTTGCACAAGAGAGAATCTCTGTGTGTGTGCCAAAACTCAAGAAAGCATTCACTGCATATCTACTTGAGCTGAATAGATTCAAAGTAAGTGGAGATTCCCAAGGCAACTATTCCTAGAGTTGATTGTAGTCCTGGGACTATAAGTCAGGCAAAAATGTAAGCCATGCTAAGCAGCAGAAGAGGAAGTAAAGATACCCAGTGTCTGCAGATTTTAACACAGTCTCAAAAATGGGAGAAGTCTTGGCTCCAAGAGACCAGATTTTCACTAAATGTCTCATCAACAGCATTGATGGTATATATGGACATTTGTCAGAACATTAAATTTCTCATTACAGTCATTAAGATATGATAGTTACTCATGATGCAGACTTACAACCAAAGCTAAGCAGGAAAAGAAGACTAAGCATGGTTTTCTCTAGCACAGCAAAAGAATGCACCATAAATGCACATTTTCCACATTTTCCTCTCTTCCAAAGAAGACAGGTTGTACTGTAATTGCTACTTTTCTATGCTGAAGTTTAGGATTTTAAGAAAAATCAGAAATTATGAACTCTACGTATCTCAATTACATCACCTCCATGATATTTAAAAATTAACCAAGACACATTAATGAATGCTTTATTAAGGCTTCATGAAGCATGATCTCTAGACAGCAAAAGCCAGTAAGAACAAGAAGTAGTAAAGTTAGCTTCAGCATGGAACAACAAGATGGTAAAGTCATTTTTCAAACCACAATTCTTAAAACCATACTTACCCTTGAAAAAGGGTAGGGTAGGTAAATTGCAGGACAGACAGGACATACTGGAAAACAAATAGCAAATTAATGGATATAAACAGCCACAGTTCATAATATTAACAAACAATCACAAGCAACAAAACAAACACAAAAAGCACTCATTTTGCTTTGTTTTGGTAGAAAAGACAAAAAAAAAAGTTTATTAATTTCACTTGTGGTGTATTTCCTGCCCATTCCCTCATAGGGCTGCACTATGACCTCTGAAATGGTTGACAGGTCACAATCTCAATGAACAGCACCTGGGCTAAGTTCCACTTGAGCTTATCAGAAACACTGTTGGCTCTCAGGAACTTAATGCTGTCCAGTGAGCTCCTGCTTTTTAACACACAGCCTTGGAGATTAATTTTTCTTGCCTGTATAAGAACCCAAGTAGAACAACATTTTTATTATTGAACTTTCAAAGAAAGTTACCAACCCACATTGAGGCCAGGAAGGAAAATCACTTCATCTAAACCCAACTCTCTTGTGACCCTATAAACAGCAGTCCTGAGTGAGACTCTTTAAGCTCTCCTGGATCACAGCAGGATGCAATCAGCATCCTCCCTCTGAGTGGGACACCTCTCAGAGCCAGCTGGTTTGCTACACTTGGAAGATCTCTGAAGGATGATGATGGATCCTGGGCTGATACCAACCACTACTCAAGACTCAACCTTTTGCTCATGAAGAAGATGCAAGGACATACAAAGTGAGTACTTCACTGAATTTGAGGGGAATTTTTCCGAGGTATACCTTGTACATGTCCCTTTAGGTCTGAGTGTGTGTGAATGTGGATATGCTGTAGCAAATTCATTATGAATATTGCTCTCTTTGATTCTTAAGTACATCAGGCTTGTAAGTAAGATAGTGAGTCACTGTCATGCCTATATTAAATTCTATATTAATATTTTGTTAAATTGTTGAAATTAGGCTTTTGATTAAAAGCTGCTATGTTTAAGTGCTGCTATAACCTTTAGACTAAACCATTGATCAAATCTGGAGTTAAGTGTGTCCACTATGAATGCTGTGACTCAGTGTCTTATTCCCTTTCCTGTTCTTACTTCCACACAGAAAATTTTTGGTTTATTGATTTTTAGACTGATTGATTTTAGTTTGATTTTTCTCTGTCTGCTTTAACCATCTAATAATGATGGCATAGATGTAATGATGTAGTAATGCAATAATGATGTAACATTGTTATAATGTAGTATTGATGGCAGTAGAAAGAACCTCACCAACAAACTTTATTGTCATTTCACTTTAATATTAAATCTGCTTTTGCCCATCCCTTTGCTGGTGATTCTCTGAGTGACTAAATCACTCATTCATGCCACTTCTCATGCCAGAACTGCTGGATGCTGCCTCAGTCACTGTGGAAAGTAACAGACACTAAATACATGAGGCATGGACACACTGAAAAATGGAGAAGGCTGTCATCTGAACTGCACTTTCACTTCCTGAACACAGTCCATACATCACACTGAATGGAAAAGGATGAACAGGAACAAAAAGCTATGAGCACCAGTCAATTAAAATCCTATCATACCAAACAGGCAATCTTTGGCAGAACCAAGGGCAATAATCTAAGCATCTGTCTCCTTATGGCTAATGTATCTCACAGACTTAACATTCTGCTTACACATTGTGTAAAATATTAAGCAGCCCATAAAGCCCATCAGAGATGTAATACATGGGGGTAAAAAGCAAAATCTGTGTCATTGCTTTAGCCTGCTTTGTCTGGGCCTGCACAAACGGATGCTAGTGTCTCTTCACACTAAATATGTATATATGCAGATGTGAGGCACAAATACATGCCTTCCAGGTCTAACATCTTCCCATGATGAAGTAGATAAATACCACTTCTGCAAAGGAGAAGAATGATTGAAGCTTCCTCAGAGGAAATGAAAGGTACCTGCTGTTCCTTCCAGGAGCCAGCAGAAGCTGTCAAGGGCAAAAAGAGAAGCTGAAAGCTTTCAGCAGAGAGAAAACTGTGCTGAGCACCTTGCAAGGTCCAGTTTTCAGGTTTGTGGGGTGTCACTAAGAAGGTGGCATCAGTATACAGAGACAAGGCATGTTGATTCACAACAAGTCCTCTTACACAGCTGTCAGAAATGCCACGTGCATTTTAAATCAGGATGATCTACCTACACATCTGTACCCCTGCTTGCATTTGCACACCACCTTCAACATGTGAAATGTCTATATTCTGGCTATTTTAAACTTTATTACACTGAAACCTACATGCAGGTCTGAAAATGGAGGCCCTATGTCAATGTCCCTATGACTTCCCCTCAATCACAGTTAAGCCAAATAAATACCTTTCCCAATCCATGATGCAACCTGGCAGCTCTTTTAGCCCCTTTCTATTTAACTAATCACTGCTCCCAGCAGTCTATCAAATCAAGTGCATTATCTCTCCCTACCAGTTTGCTTCATGTCTGGACTTCAGTCTACTTTTGAGCATCCTTAATGGCAAATGTATCTTGGAACAACTGGCCAATGCCCAGAAAAGATTTCATTTTCAACTCTGAAATGCTGCTTTTCTCTAATCCTCCCTCTGAATATTCATACCCTGATTGTTTCACCAATATTTTTTTCTTTCAGAAATCTGCACTAGAAATACAGACACGCTCCCTGACAAACAGGATAGCACGGAGTAGTTACTCTAACTCCTCCTCCCAGAGTGAAAAAACTACTTTCAAATTATGCTTAAATTATACATTTTTATTCACAATGTGGCCATCTTCAGCTTACTTCTTACACTTAGACACTTCAGCAACACTAATATGAAATTGTTACACAGTGGAAAACAAAGTTCTTGTCCTTAATTTGTGTGTTAATTAAGTAGTCAAAGGAACAAAGTTGCCATGGAAGTTAATATTTGTTTCACTTCTAAAATAATACTTTGAATATTTCACATTTTCCCCTTGGATAGTTGATATCATTGTTCCAGTTAACAGATCTTCTTTTGGGAACGAGGGCAGTTGCCATACACCCGATAATGAAATATATACAGCATCAGCGATACTTTCAGTGCAGCATAACTTCTGGCTCTATAACACTTCATTCATTGGAACGATATGATGTCAACCTCCTTGCCCTCCTAAACAAGACAATACTGGAACTCATTTATCGTGGAAGGGTAAAGCTGTCACACACTGAGCAGCTTTAACTGTTCAGTGTGCGACAGCACCCTATCCGCAGTCTGGGGAGCACACAGGGATGGGCGGCTGGCCGGAGTGCCCCGGACTTTTTCACTCGTGGGGCAGTCCCGTCCGGGAAGGGCTGCTCCTCCGTCTCTCCCTGAGCAGGGCAGGGAAAGCACAGGGCACCGTCTCTCCTTTTTCTCCTCCTCCCGCCCCTGCATCCTGCACTTCCCTGGCCCCCGCTCCCGCAGCCCGGCAGCCGGCGCCCCCCACCTCCCTGCGCCCCGCCCGGCCCGTCCGAGTGCGGGGCGGCCCCGCGCCCGCGCTCACCTTGTTGGTGAAGCTGGAGGCCAGGTAGAAGAGGCAGAAGGCGAGCCCGCCCGCCGGCCTCTTCAAATACATCGGTCAGCGCGGGCGCGGCGGGCGGCGGCCATCGGCCGGGCCGGGGACACGTCGCCTCAGCGGGCGCCGCCTCTGCGGGGCCGCTGCTGCCGCCCGGCGGCCGTGCCGGGCCCCTTGCGGCCGTGCCGGGCCCAGGGCGGCCGGAGCGGCCGCAGCGCCGCAGCCCGGGCACAGCCGAGGCCCAAGCGGCGCCGCCGAACGGCGACCGGCCGGGGAGGGAGGACATTGTCCCCTCTCCTCTGCCTTGTGGGACCCCAGCTGGAGTGCTGCGCCCAGCACAGAGGCACTCGGCATGGGAAGGATCTGCTAAATAAAGCAAGTCCACAGGAGGGAGGCAAAGATCGTCACAGGGCTGGAGCACCGCTCCTGGGGAGATAGGCTGAGAGAGCCCGGGATGTTCAAGTCGGAGAAGGGAACGCTCTGGAGGGACCTTATACCAGCCTCTTAGTACCTAAAGGGGAGCTGCAAAGGGACTTTTTACTTGGGCATGTAGTGGTAGGGGGAATAGCTTTGAACTGAAAGAGGGCGGATTTAGACTAGATGTAAGGAAGATATTTTTTATGGTGAGGGTGGTGAGATGCTGGAACAGGTGGTGGATACACCATCCCTAAAAGTGGTCAAAGCCTGGCTGGACAGGGCTCAGAGCAACCTGATCTAGCTGAAGACGTTTAGCAGGATGCCCTGCCCTGGAATGTGGTCAAGCAACTTGGACAATGCCTCATTTACAAGGCTATTAGTCCAGTGGTGGATTGAGAGAGGGCATCAAGCTGGCTTTGGTGTTGAATTCTGACAACACTAGTCTGACCCATCAACCCCCAAATTAGCATCCTGACAGTGAGGTAAAGATTTGGCAGACAAGCTGCTAAGCTGACCTGGAGATATATGAGTGGCAATCAATCACTGTACACTATAGAAGTCCAGTCCATTTCCGTATGCTTAGGTTCTTCTACCGTATCCTTTCTTGGAGCGTGTATGAAGATTCCTCCTCTGGGTGGGGACACCCCTCAGAGTTAGTCCTTAAGGCTGAGTGAAAGAGATTTTGCCCATGGTCATTTGCATGGGTGAATAACATCAATGTCTGCTTTAACAACTATTTCTTTTTGCTAGTTTTATTTAGAATTGCTTTAATATAGTTGCTTTGATAGACTGCACTGTACCATCCTATCATAGTAGTTGTATCTTCTAGTGTGTGTAGTAAGTAATTCTGAGTAAGATCTCCTTGTCTAATAATTTATCATAATATTCATTTTTATATAAGTAGATCTAGTTTGCCATCATTTATCCTACAGGACAAAGTTGTACAAAAGTTGAATCACACCTCTATAATTTCTTAAACTTAAACCACTGACAGTCTGAGGCTAAGATTAGATTCAGCTGCACCTTGGCTCCTCTCTGAGCAGGAATTTATAAAGCAAGGGGGTCCTTTCTGCACCTCATGGCTCAATGTGAGGGATTCCCTAATAAATTTTGTCTGAAACTCACACTCATGACAAGAAGCCACTCCTTATTGCAGGGGGCTGGACTAGATGGCTAACTTTAAAGGCCCCTTCCAACCAACTATTCTATGATTCTATGATTCACTGGTGATGTGTGAACTATAAATATCCCAGGCAGGTGAAAAGAAACGCCCTGTCAGGTCATGGTTACTGGGTGATCTTTTATTATGGCCTAGGTAAGCCTTGTTTTTCCCAGTCCTGGTATTAGCAAGGTCCTATCTTTGCAGCTCTTACCTTGACTTTGTTCAGGTAACACAAAGTACGGGGCCCTCTCTGTACACATACACCCTCTTTTTAGAGAACACAGCAAAGCAGCATAAATAAGGAACTTTATTTATGAGCATGGCTTAAACTAGGGAGGGAGGGAGGCACTAAGTGGTCAATTCCACTAAATGAGCCTGTCTAACTTGCTATGTTTAGCCTTTAAAGACAAGGTCAACAGAGTGCAACAGCTGAACAGCTGACCTGCACCAAGATAAATTAAAGTATTTTGGGTGCATCAGACGTGATCCTATCTGGTTTGTAAGGTAGTGGTCCAACACAGACATCAACTTCCAGTGCTGAAATGTTTGGTCCATCCAGGCTCACAGAGATCATTGATGAGCCACTGTAATGGATGTGTTAGAGATGGCAAGGTGAGTGATACAGCATTTCCACTTTGCACAGCACCTGTTTATGTACAAATGTCAAAAGTGCATTTGGCAACAAAGGCACACTTTGCATTGTGCCACAAATTCAGCCTGTAAAGCTTTAAAAAAGAGTAAGTAAAGTTTATGGATATCTGCAAAGACTAATGTAAGCATGCCGTAAGAGTACCTTTGACTTTTTATTACAGTGGGGTATCACTTTCATACAAAATATTACAGTGATATCTCTGAGCTTTTTGCAGTATTTCTTAGTACAAGTGGGAGACTGGGGCAAAGATGGTATATTTTCTTACAGCCAAATACAGAAGCAGGTCTGAATTCTTGTATGCCACTTAGAGTGAGAGATTAAGAATGAAGATGTAAATTTCTGCTAATGTTGTTTATCAGGACTGACTTGAATTACATACAAAGTAATCACTATGCAGCTTTGGAATTATTTTGATAATATGAAGGGATGTTTCTGCTCTATCTAGATTTTTAACTTTTTATTGGGAGGTATGAACGTGTTGCAAATTATTTTGTTTACACATCATTTCACAAAACATTTTTTTTTAATACAATTCACTTCAAAGCTTGATCCATTCATATGAGAAGTCATGGGATCAAGGCCTAATCAGGAAATATTCAAGAGATTAAAATAAAGGACTTCTTTTTGAAAACTTAAAAAACTTAAAAACTTAATAACAAGACATTGGAATATTTAGTTACTGTTCATGTCTTTCTGAATCAAAACCTACCACAACGCATTTTCTTAATCAGTGCTTGTACAGCTGTGCAAGAATAATGATTTTTCCCAGGGCAGCAGGACATTGCTTTGATATTCTGCTCATATATAAAGCTGTTAATTTTAGACAAAGAAGATAGAGGAGAGCATGACAGTAATCTTCACACCCAAAAGGCAGTTGCAAAGGAAAAGAAATAATCTCTTTTCACCAGAGCTAAGTGCAGAGAGGGTAAGAAACATGCTGGTGCTGCATCACCAGACAAAGCCACTCTCGCCAGCATTTGGCAGTGCTGTGGTAACCAATGAACCTGATGATCTTAAAGGTCTTTTACAACCTAAATGATTCTATGATCCTAAAATGCCTTCGTGGCACAAGCCTGTGTCACGCCTGCAGGTTGTGTGTAACAGGCTGGGTCCCTACCCTCTTCCAGATGGTTTGTCTTTTAGCTGGGAACTTTCTGGGGTAATGAACTCTGGAACAGTGTCTTAGGAGATTGTAATGCATTACGTCATTGCAGGTTGCTAAGGACAAATAAGAGGAACTTTGGCCGACGAAACTGATTCTTGCATGGCTGAGAATTGATATGAATGGCCTTTACTGAGCCTGCCTGGCAGTATAGGCTTTGCTAGATGTAAAACAGGGAACTTACTCCAAGCAGGCTGGGGGATGCCACAGAACCCCTTACAACTTCTGCCCTTGCAGCCACCCAGCTTTCCAGGCTGGTTTTCAGATTATCAACAGTGACTGTGACAGCGCATTTGTCTGACTGCAGACAGATACCTTCTACAGATGGTGATGAGCCAGCGAGGGGATTTCTAGGCATTACTTCCTTCCTTTAAGGAAACTTGCCCAAATAGACCTAATGTGTCATAGCAAAACATTATCCCATTGCTGCTGTCCTGGAAATAGGGCACTTTAGTCACAATACTATTTTCCAGATAAATATTACATATAAAATCGAGATGTAAAAGGCAGCAAGTCACATACAAAGTATTTCAACTTATATCTACAGTGGCTTACAGGACTGGGAAAAAATTTGTTTGTTTGTTTATAGTTTGGTTAATTTATTGTAATTTTTTTGTGTTCCTTCAGTTACTTCCTGTAATAAAAACAAATGCCAAATATTTCATTTCGGTTAGGTTGGAAAAGACCTCTGAGACTGAGTCCAATCTAAGACTAAACACCAAGTAGACTAGACCATGGCACTGAGTTCCATATCCCATCTTTCCTTAAACACCTCCAGGAATGGTGACTCCACCACCTCCCTGGGCAGTCTATTCCAGAGTCTAATCAACCCTTCTGTGAAGAAACTCTTCCTAATGTCCAATCTAAACCACCCCTGGCTCAGCTTGAGGCTGTGTTCTCTGGTCCTGTTGCTTGTTGCCCGGGTGAAGAGGCCGACCCCCAGCTGGCTCCAGCCTCCTTTCAGTGGTTGTAGAGAGCGGTAAGGTCACTCCTGAGCCTCCTTTTCTCCAGGATAAACACCCCCAGCCCCCTGAGCCGCTCTCCATCGGACTTGTGCTCCAGACCCTTCACCAGCTCCGTTGCCCTTCCCTGCACTCCATTTCATCTATCTGTTTTGCCTGGCTTACTGTTTGATTTGTTGGGGTTTTTTTCCTCCCACCGTTCCCTTGGTTACTTCCTGAGATAAAAAACAAACGTTAGCTATATAATTTCTCCCTTTCGCGCTACCACCAGCCCGGCTCAGCCCGCCTCTGTCCCTCAGCCCCCGGGTGGGTGGGGCGGGCCGGGCGGAGGTTCCGCCGGCAGGTTCCGCCTCCGCACGCCGCCGGTGCGGCCGCGGCCGGGCCGGTGACATCACCGGAAAGGCGGGTCAGCCCCGGCCAATGGGCCGCCCGACGGCCGCGGGGAAGCGCGGAGGACCCGGAAGGTTTCGCAGTCGGAGCGTTGCTGCCCCGCGGAGAGAGCCCACTGCTGCCGCCGCCCGCCCCTGCGTGCCCCATGGACTCGGTGGGAGTCGCTGCCGCCGCGCCCGACGCCGGGCCGGGCCCCGCCTGGCAGAGCAAGGTGAGCGCTGTGCCGGCCCCGCGGGGCCGCGCCCGACCCTGTCCCGGCTCCGGGGAGCCGGAGGAGCAGGAGGAGAAGCTCCGAGGCCGTGGAGAGGGCGCTGCGAGGTGGTGCCAGCGCCACCAGGGTGGCTGTCACTCGG